ACCCATAGTCTCAACACTACCCATAGACTCAACACTACACCATCGACTCAACACTACCCATAGACTCAACACTGCCCATAGACTCAACACTGCCCATAGACGCAACAGTGCCCATAGACTCAACACTGCCCCATAGACTCAACACTACCCATAGTCTCAACACTGCACCATAGACTCAACCATAGACTCAACACTGCCCATAGACTCAACACTGCCCATAGACTCAACACTCACCATAGACTCAACACCACCCATAGACTCAACACTACCCATAGTCTCAACACTGCCCATAGACTCAACACTGCCCAAAGACTCAACACTGCCCAAAGACTAAACACTGCCCAAGACCTAACACTACCCATAGACTCAACACTGCCCAGAGACTCAACACTGCCCATATATTCAACACTGCCCATAGACTCAACCCTACCCATAGACTAAACACTGCACCATAGACTCAACACTGCACCATAGACTCAACACTGCACAAGGACTCAACACTGGCCATAGACTCAAGTGCCCATAGACTCAACACTCCCCATAGACTCAACACCACCCATAGACTCAACACTACCCATAGTCTCAACACTACCCATAGACTCAACACTACACCATCGACTCAACACTACCCATAGACTCAACACTGCCCAAAGACTCAACACTGCCCATAGACTCAACACTGCCCAAAGACTAAACACTGCCCAAGACTCAACACTACCCATAGACTAAACACTGCACACAGACTCAACACTGCCCATAGACTCAACACTGCCCATAGACTCAACCCTACCCATAGACTAAACACTGCACACAGACTCAACACTGCCCATAGACTCAAGTGCCCATAGACTCAACACTCCCCATAGACTCAACACCACCCATAGACTCAACACCACCCATAGACTCAACACTACCCATAGACTCAGCACTGCCCAACGACCCAACACTACCCATAGACTCAGCACTGTCCAAAGACTCAACACTGCCCAAAGACTAAACACTGCCCAAGACCTAACACTACCCATAGACTCAACACTGCCCAGAGACTCAACACTGCCCATATATTCAACACTGCCCATAGACTCAACCCTACCCATAGACTAAACACTGCACCATAGACTCAACACTGCACCATAGACTCAACACTGCACAAGGACTCAACACTGCCCATAGACTCAAGTGCCCATAGACTCAACACTCCCCATAGACTCAACACCACCCATAGACTCAACACTACCCATAGTCTCAACACTACCCATAGACTCAACACTACACCATCGACTCAACACTACCCATAGACTCAACACTGCCCAAGACTCAACACTACCCATAGACTCAACACTGCCCAGAGACTCAACACTGCCCATAGACTCAACACTGCCCAGAGACTCAACACTGCCCATATATTCAACACTGCCCATAGACTCAACCCTACCCATAGACTAAACACTGCACCATAGACTCAACACTGCACCATAGACTCAACACTGCACACAGACTCAACACTGCCCATAGACTCAAGTGCCCATAGACTCAACACTCCCCATAGACTCAACACCACCCATAGACTCAACACCACCCACAGACCCAACACTGCCCATAGACTCAGCACTGCCCAAAGACCCAACACTGCCCATAGACTCAACACTGCCCAACGACCCAACACTGCCCATAGACTCAGCACTGCCCAACGACCCAACACTACCCATAGACTCAGCACTGCCCAACGACCCAACACCACCCACAGACTCAACACTACCCATAGACTCAGCACTGACCAACGACCCAACACTGCCCATAGACTCAGCACTGCCCAAAGACCCAACACTGCCCCTGTACATGAAGCAGTCCCACATCCTTAACCTCCCTCCGTTCCTCTCTTTAAGCCTCACCACCTCTCCACTCCCTACCCCTCCCCTTCGCCCTCCACCCCTCCCCGCGACCTCTCTAAGCACCGCGTCTAACGCTGCTGCTGCTGCCGCTCGAGACCTCGTAGCAACGCTTCCTTGCCCAACTACATCATTACATTGTCACCGTTCCGTACGACATGTCATCGTGCGATTTGAGTGAAAGTGTTCTGTAAATATACGAGATCAGATACAGAGTTACGTCACACCGTTCTTGAATTGAAGCAAGGCTATTCTTATAGGAGCTGGGGGGAGCTGGAGGGGGACGATGGTGGTGGTGGTGGTGGCGACGATGGGAGACGAATTCCAGAATTCCAAAGCGGGGCAGTACGAGGGAAGAAGCAGAGAGAGAAGTGAGGTGAGCTGCAGGGTGATTAGGTGGGTGAGTGAGTGGGTGAGTTAGTGCGTGTGTGGGTGAGTAAGTGGGTGAGTGAGTGGGTGGGTGAGTGGGTACGTGGGTGAGTGGATGAGTGAGTGAGTGGGTACGTGGGTGGGTGAGTGGGTGGGTGGGTGAGTGGGTAGGTGAGTGAGTGGGTACATGGGTGAGTGGGTACATGGGTGAGTGGGTGAGTGAGTGGGTGGGTGAGTGGGTACGTGGGTGAGTGGGTGAGTGGGTTGGTGAGTGAGTAGGTGGGTAAGTGGGTACGTGGGTGGGTGAGTGGGTGGGTGGGTGAGTGGGTGGGTGGGTGAGTGGGTGGGTGAGTGAGTGGGTACGTGGGTGAGTTAGTAGGTGAGTGCATACGTGGGTGGGTGGGTCAGTGGGTGGGTAAGTGGGGAGTGAGTGGGTGAGTGGGTACGTGGGTGGGTGAGTGGGTGAGTCAGTGGGTGGGTGAGTGGGTACGTGAGTGGGTGAATAAGTGGTTGGGTTGGTGGGTGAGTGAGCGGGTGAGTGGGCGAGTCAGTAAGTGAGTGGGTGACTGGTTGCTTTTGTATTACAAATAATGATGGAAAAAACGACGACTTGCATAGCTTCTCTACCACTCTCCGCACTCCTGGTATGCAGGAGGTCGTGGGTTCAATCCCGACGCTGACACCTGGTATATATTTGGAGGTTGCGTCTCTCTAACCCCCCCTCCCCTCCCCACATGGTCGCGTGGATTTTTCTCCGGGTCCTCAGGTTTTTTTTTGCCTCCACATTTCGAACGAACGTCACCACGCGTTTAGAGAGTAATTGGCTCCTGCTGCTGCTGTAATGTCCATGTGACCATGATGATGGTAAGACGACTTGGTTGCTGCTGCTGCTATAATTTGTGAGCTACGTAGCTCATATTCAGAAGCCACCCCAGGCTATCACGAACGATAGCAGCTCAACGAAATTGGCTCAAGTGGAATTGTTTCTAAAGGTGGAGGAGAAAAATTCCACGCGACCACGGGGAGAGAGACACAGAGAGAGACGCAAACTTCAACTACACAGGTGTCAGGGTCGAGATCGAACCCACAACCTCCTGTATACCAGGCGAGGTAGTTAATATCTCCTAGCCACCGTGATGATGAGAGACACGCAAACTCAAATCACACAAGAGGTGTCTGGGTTGAGATCGAACCCACAACCTCCTGTATACCAGGCGAGGTAGTTAATATCTCATAGCCACCGTGATGATGAGAGAGAGACACGCAGACTCAAATCACACAAGAGGTGTCTGGGTTGAGATCGAACCCACAGCCTCCTGTATACCAGGCGAGGTAGTTAACATCTCCTAGCCACCGTGATGATGAGAGAGAGACACGCAGACTCAAAACACACAAGAGGTGTCTGGGTTGAGATCGAACCCACGACCTCCTGTATACCAGGCGAGGTAATTAACATCTCCTAGCCACCGTGATGATGATGAGGGAGAGACACAGACCTCCTGTATACCAGGCGAGGTAGTTAACATCTCCTAGCCACCGTGGACGCCCTCAGTACTGTGGAGGCAGTAGCCGCAAGGGTTAGTGGATCGCCAACAGATGGGCTGTACGTGCGCACGTTTAACTTCTCTCGCGCCGTACGTTGACAACCGTGCCAATCGGAGGTGCGAATCTCCCTTCCCGTGGGAGTCGAGGAGCCATATCCCTGGCTCCGCTAGAAGGCAAAGTGTGTCGACCAATCCCCATCTGTTCCATCTGTATGGGGGATAGAGCATTGTCCCCTCGCACAAGGCGTGGGGTTTTCTCCGGGTGTATATGGTTTCCTCCTCCTCCCCACGTCAATAATAAACACAACTCATCATTGTTTATGTGTTGAACTTCTTTCGCACCGTACGTAGACAAACCGTGTTAATTGCAGGGTGGGTGAGTGTGTGGGTGAGTGGCTATGTGAGTGGCTGAGTGACTATGTGAGTCTAGATATGCGTGTATGTTGAACTTCTTTTGCACCATACATAGCCACCGTGCTAATTGGGGTTGAAAACTCAAAACGTGGCTTTGCTTGATAATATAAATACGTTAGTATTATTCTGCTAAATAAATGCATGAGTATTATTCTTGTAAATAAATACATTATTAGTCCTGTCAATAAATACGAGTATTATTATTACCGTAACTAAATACATTATTATCACTGTCAATAAATACATGAGTATTATTATTGTCAATAAATACATTATTTCTTGGAAGAGGCTAAAATCCTCATCACCCTCCCCACCCCCAGTTCTCCTTTAAGCATTAAAATCACGAAATATCAAACACAATTGCACGTGCTAAAGGGCTTAAAATAAAACTTATTTTTGGGGGGGGGATTCCTTTCTTTACTTTACACCGAACACTCACACGTGCACGTCTGCTGCACCCCACTCGCTTTCTGCTTTAGTTTCGTGAACAGACATCGCCTGCACGGTTGGCGTCTTCAAAAGTGAAAGTGGCGGCGGCGGCGGCGGCGCCAATGGCGTTACGGCATCGATGGACGTCGCGATGATGATGATGATGTTGCCTTCGCAGCGACGTCACAATGGCGACGTCACAACGGCGCCGTGGTGACGTCACAACGACAGAACGGACGGCCAGCTGAGCAGAGCGCCGACGCGTGGGTGATCTTGGCAGAATGAAAAAAAAAAACCGACGCCGTTTCAACTTTGACGGCAACAGAGATGGACAAAACGGGTTCTGGAGCAGGCACAATCCTAGAAATATATACGGCGCTTTTATTGCAAAGCCTTCGACAACAACGCAACCATTAAAAAATATATCTTCGCGTGTATCTCGACGCCCTCCCAGGAGGAGATTGGGCACAGCACTCAATATCGCGATCTCCAACGCTGTAAACGGTTCAATTGTTTCATATTTCCCCCTCCCCACGCCTCTTTTTTCCCCCCGGAGCCCGACGCGAGGTTCGGCTCACCCCGGACGCGCCCCCCAGACGGTCCCGCACGCGACGATCGCGGTCGGCTACGGCGGCCTGCGAGTGGCTCCCACGCACACAACCACCCCTCCCCCCCCCCACTGTATTCCTATGTACAGACTTCTTGACGCTGGCAAGATCGGCAACTGCTGGACTATTTACAAGACGCGTGGGAGGCGCTGTGTATTTACAGGACACGCGATCGCAACAGCAGTTCCCCCCCCCACTATCTTCCTTATGTACAACCGCCACCCCGAACATCATCGGAAGCGCCAATGTAAATTTGGTTGCCTCACGTGTTGCAAACCTCACTGCAAAGTTAAATTCGTACTCGCGGGTCGTTTTTTTTGTTGCGTGCAACCGCTACGATGCAAAGTTCCGTTGCAACAAATGAATAAGCATTTACATTTGTGCACGTGCACGTATGGTGGCGGTATGCTTAAATGCCCCACGAGTCTTCCAACATCGTACGTAAAAACCTTCCCAATCCCCCTTTCCCAGCTGCAGGTTGGCTCTTTTAAGGGCTTAAAATAAAGACGTGATCGCCGGCGATTCCCCCGATTCATTTCAACCGAATCCGAGAAAATATTGATCTGCTCAATGTGTTTGCGTTTGTTTTTTTTTGTCAACAGAAATTGGCCTGCACGACGTTTTTTTTAAAAAGACACTTTTTAAAAGTTCAAGTTACGGCGACGCTAACGATATGACGACACTGGCAACGACATTGACGATGTCACAATGATATCACAGTGACATTGACGATGTCCCAATGACATTGACGATGTCACAATGATGTCACAATGACATTGACGATGTCACAATGATATCACAGTGACATTGAGGATGTCCCAATGACATTGAGGATGTCACAATGATGTCACAATGACATTGACGATGTCACAACGAACATCGATACCGCATTGACATGGATGATGTCACAATGACATTGACGACGTTGCAATGAACGACGACAACGGCACGGTAACATTGGCGACGTCACGGCGACGTCACGGCGACGTCACGGCGACGTCACGGCGACGACGATCGCGACGTCACGGTGATGTCACGGCGACGAAGTTCGCGATGTCACGGCGATGTCACGGCGACGTCACGGCGACGTCACGGCGATGTCACGGCGACGTCACGGCGACGTCACGGCGACGTCACGGTGACGTCACGGTGACGTCACGGCGACGTCACGGTGACGTCACGGCGACGTGAAGCCTGCGCCAGCAACGCATCTCTCACGCGAGCGGCGGTGGGAGAAGCAGCAGGAAACATAGATCACAAGTTAAAAAAAAAAAACCCCAACCCCTGCCTCAAAACGTTCTCCTCACCTCTGGGTCTCTTATAAGACAGTAACATTACATTCATTAACGCAACCTACTACATCTCCTCGCCACTGGGTGCCCCGCTGGCTAGGAGATGTTGACCGCCTCGCCTGGTACGCAGGAGGTCGTGGGGGGTTCCATCCCGACTCCTGACGCCTGCTGCTGCTGCTGCTGCATATTTGGAGTCTGCGCGTCTCTCTTTCACTCTGCCCCTCCTGCCCCCCAGCCCAGGTCCTCCTCCGGTTTTCCCCTCCACGTTTATAGAATCGACGGGCGCACCCTTAAAGGGCAATTTTGGCTGCTGCTATAGATTCCCGCACGACGACAACGACGATGGGCGATGGGGGAGCCACTTCTCGTCGATGATCTGCTGTCGTTCGTGGCCAGGGTCGCTTCTGAAAAGAAGATCTACACAGCTCAGCGGGGGGGGGGGGCCTTCTGTGGTACAATAAAAATAGTTTTAGTTCCATTATTTACACGCACGCAGGGACGGGGATACCAAACTACGCGTGCAACATTGTCGCTAACCAACAGGCGTAAGCCTCGACGGGGGGGGGGGGGGGGGGGGGGGATTCGACCAATCAGAACGATGCCACGATTTGAGCAGCAGCAGCAGCAGCAGCAGCAGCCAGCAGTGCCAGCCGACGTCGAGTTATGTTCGCTGCGGCGACAAAACGCGAGGTCCATTACACGATCCCACCACGTACAAACACAGACGCACGGCGTGATCGTCACCACGACAGAACGGCGTGATCGTCACCACGATGACATTTGCCGAACTACGCCGAATCGGTGCATTTCGCGGGTCGTGCCGCCGCCGCTGGGTGTTACCGTCGGGGCGAGGCGCGACGACGTCCCTCGCTCCCCTCCGAGCGCCTTCTCGGGAGCTGCTCGCTCCTTTGCGGGGGAGTCCTCGCGTGGCGGCTCTGACTACCCCCCCCCCCCCCCCCTCCTCCTCTTCCCCACTCGCATCCCACAACCCCTGGGGGGCTGGGTGGGGTCGGTGGCCCTGCTCGGCAAAGCGAGACAGATTTTAGTCGTATTGGTTACGAGAGGGGCGCTCCCCCCCCCCCCCCACCCCCCCCCCCACCGCCGCCCCCGCGGGGATCGCTGCCCGGCGCGATAATCTGGCAGCCAGCGGGATTGAGGAAGAAAAAAATTAATTAATGATAATTATTATAATTATTAAGAAATTATAAGAAATTATTAAACTAAAATAATAATTGTTTTCATCATCATCATCATCATAATCAGAGGGGCACGGCCCACACAGGCAGCCTCCGGAAGCGCGGCAACACGACGCTTCCCCTCAAAAAACCACGCGCAGAGGGCAACGGACGGGGGAGAGAGAAGCCCTCTCTCTCCTCCCTCTTCCCTCCAGCGCGATGGCCGTGGACAAGTGGCGATGGCGGCGGAGTCGGCCTCTTCATCATCGCCTGAAGGCGCCCATCATCTTGGCGCCGAACTGGTACGTCAGCTTCTTCTTGATCTTGCGGATCTCGCCCGTCGCCTCGTAGTTCCGCAGCGCCCGCGCCAGCTTCTGGTAGGTCATCGCCTTGCGGTTGCCCTTCCGCTGGCCCCACTTCTTCGCCAGCTCCTCCTTGTGCTGCGACGAGAACTGGAAGATGCCCTGGCGCTCGTCCACCCACCAGATGCAGTGGCACATCCTCTGGTCCTGGAGGATCTCCATGAGGAACTGGTACAACCTCGTCTTGCCTCGCTTCCCCACTGTTGGGGAGAGAAAAATTGGTCACACGACGCACAAGAGACACGAAGTGGGCCCCCCCTCCGCCCCGTGTGTAGCCTGCAACAGACTGTCCAGCGAGCAGCAGCATCTACGAGGGCCGGCAGTGTGGCTCACGAGGGGGTGGGTGGGGCCAGCACCACGCCCGGCCGTCTTTGTCTCCCCAGTGGCGATGTTCACACATCAGCACCGGGTACTCATTTGAGGCCGAGTTGACCGAGGGGAGGCTCAGATAATCGTCACACGCCGCACACCGCACACACAAAGACAAATATCCCCCCCCCCCCCCATGTAGCCTCAACAGACTGCTGGGGCAAGTGCTGTTAGCAAGTAGCAGCACCTACGGAGGCTACCGGCACTGTGGCACACGAGGGGGTGGAGTGGCCAGCAACCACGCCTGGCCACCTTTGTCTCCCCAGTGGCGTTGATGACACTGCTTGTTGTTGTTGTTTAGTTTATTGCCCTTCATCCCGCACCTCCGATTAGCACGATTGGGCAACACAACATACCGAATCAGAATATTGTGTTCATACTACAGGAAGAATCCGATGAGCTATGAAGCTCTTTATTTTACAGATGCCTGGGGGGGGTGGGGGTGAGTAGGAACGTCACAACGACGACACTACGCTTGCTGCTCTCTCACCTCCTTTCTCCCTCTTCACAGTCACACCACGAGGTAGCTGCTGCTGCTGCTGCTGCTGGTGGTGGTGCTGGTGGTGGTGGCGGTGGCGGCCCTGCTGCTGCTGCTGCTGCTGGCCGTCGCCGCCAGCGACGCTGCCGAAGGGCGGCAGCTCAACCGGGCGGCACCTCCTCCGGCAGCCCTCCTCGTCCCCCTCCTCCTCCTCCTCCTCCTCGTCCTCGCTCTCCGTGTCGGAGATCTGCAGCGTCGGGACGTCGCTGTCGTAATCGGCGTCGTCCGCCGAGCTCAGCGTCGGAGACGGCACGGAGGGAGCCGTGTGGGGCTGTGCACGCACGCGGAGACAAAGCTTCCCCTTGTAGGCTCTGCCCACTGACGGAGGGGGCAAGTGCTGTGTGCGACCCACTGTGCTACCCCGCACCCACACACCGCACCTGCGCGAAGATCCCGGCGGAGCCCGCATCGGCCCCGGGGGGGGGGGGGCAAGTGCCGTTAAGCGAGGAGCAGCACCTGCCCGTGGCACGCGAGTGGGGAGGGTGGCCGGCACCACGCCCGGCCGCCTTTGTCTCCCCTGTGACAATGTTTACTGCACACTGCACCAGGTGCTCATTCGAGTCGGCCGAATCGACCTCGGGGAGGCCCCCAGGACCGGTTCAGAAAATCGTCACCGGCGTTGGCCGTGAGCGGGAATTTAACTCGGGTCGCCAGGTGCGTAGCGCGCTAACCGCTCCGCGCACACGCACTCGTACACGCGTGTGGTCACCTACAGCTTAATAAGACAGGGTTCTGTGTTGGAACTCTGTCTTACTACACGCAAGCCCGGTGGCAATGCACCCATGGTTTTCGTGGGGAGCCGTGGGAGAGAAAAACCGCGAGGGTTGGGGAGGACTTTCGGTGCGTCAAGTCACGTGACGTTGTTTCAGCGAACGTCACCGCACGGTTTTACTCGGTCCCCACCGCACGCACTCACAGACGGACTGAAGGACAGGGGGCGGACGGACGGACACGGGGGGCGGACGAACTGATGGACGGACGGACAGGGCGGCAGATGGACGGACAGGGGAGCAGATGGAAGGACAGGGGGCCAGACGGACTGATGGACAGACAGATGGACAGGGGGGCGGATGGACGGAGAGTGGGGCGGACGGACGGACAGGGGGCCAGACGGACTGATGTTCTGATGGACAGACGGATGGACAGGGGGGCGGATGGAAGGACAGGGGGCCAGACGGAGTGATGGACGGACAGGGATGTGGACGGACGGACACGCGAAAAGGGGTTGCGAGGGGAGACTAATCAGCGTCGCACATCGGAGCTGGCCGAGAGACGGAATCAAAATTCACCTCATCGAGCAGGGACTGGTAGGAGGACTCGGAGCCTTCGTACCCAGACAGCGTCACGTCGCTCCCACTGATAAAGTTTTTATCTGCGGGGAGAAAGAGCAAGTTAGTTTGTGAGAGCGAGAGAGTGAGAGAGAGTGAGTGAGTGAGTTAGTGAGAGAGAGTGAGTGAGTTAGTGAGAGAAAGAGTGAGTGAGAGCAAGTGAGAGAGAGCGAATGAGAGTGAGAGAGTGAGTGAGTTAGTGAGTGAGAGAGAGAGTGAGAGAGAGTGAACGAGTGAGTTACTGAGAGAGTGAGAGAATGAGAGAGTGAGTGAGTGAGTGAGAGAGTGAGTGAGAGAGTGAGAGAGTGAGTGAGTGAGTTAGTGAGAGCGTGAGTGAGTTAGTGAGTGAGTTAGTGAGTAAGAGTGAGTGAGTGAGAGAGTGAGTTACTGAGAGAGTGAGTTAGTGAGAGAGTGAGTTAGTGAGAGAGTGAGTTAGTGAGAGAGTGAGTTAGTGAGAGAGGGTGAGAGCGAGCGAGTGTCTGAGAGTGAGTAAGATAACGATAGAGACAGAGAGAGAGTTAGTGAGAGAGAGAGAGCGAGAGAGATAGAGACAGAGTGTCTGAGAGAGTGAGTGTCTGAGAGAGTGAGTTAGTGAGAGAGTATGAGTGAGTTAGTGAGAGAGAGAGCGAGAGAGATAGAGACATAGAGTGTCTGAGAGAGTGAGTGAGTTAGTGAGAGAGAGAGAGCGAGAGAGATAGAGACATAGAGTGTCTGAGAGAGTGAGAGAGTTAGTGAGTGAGAGAGAGCGAGAGAGAGATAGAGACAGAGTGAGTGAGTTAGTGAGTTAGTGAGAGAGAGCGAGAGAGATAGAGACATAGAGTGAGTTTCTGAGAGAGTGAGTTAGTGAGAGAGTGAGTGAGTTAGTGAGAGAGATAGAGACATAGAGTGTCTGAGAGAGTGTCTGAGAGTGTGTGAGTTAGTGAGAGAGTGAGTGAGTGTCTGAGAGAGTGAGTGAGTTAGTGAGAGAGTGAGTGAGTTAGTGAGAGAGTGAGTGAGTTAGTGTCTGAGTGAGTGTCTGAGTGAGGTAGTGAGAGCGAGAGGCATTCGGTTCATGGTGTTGTACTTGTAGATGGGTTTTGAATCTGATTTGAATCCCATGGTTCTGTATGGGATGAGACGCGGGTTCTGTATGGGATGAGACGAGGGTTCTGTATGGGATGAGATGCAGGTTCTGTATGGGATGAGACGTGGGTTCTGTATGGGATGAGACGCGGGTTCTGTATGGGATGAGACGCGGGTTCTGTATGGGATGAGACGCGGGTTCTGTATGGGATGAGACGCGGGTTCTGTATGGGATGAGACGCGGGTTCTGTATGGGATGAGACGTGGGTTCTGTATGGGATGAGACGCGGGTTCTGTATGGGATGAGACGCGGGTTCTGTATGGGATGAGACGTGGGTTCTGTATGGGATGAGACGCGGGTTCTGTATGGGATGAGACGCGGGTTCTGTATGGGGTGAGATGCAGGTTCTGTATGGGATGAGACGCGGGTTCTGTATGGGATGCGATGCGGGTTCTCTATAGGATTAGACGAGGGTTCTATATGGGATGAGACGCGGGTTCTGTATGGGATGACACGCGGGTTCTGTATGGCATGAGACGAGGATTCTGTATGGGATGAGACGCGGGTTCTGGAACGTTGAGATTTATAAGGGGCACGGGGTGATCAATCAGGTCAGAATTGGTCTGTAATAAGGTAGGGCACTGATAAGGGGTTGACAGGCCTGAGACTGTACCTGAGTTCCCGCACTTCTGCAGCTCGTGTATGATGTACTGATCGATGATGTCCAAAGGGTCATCATACTTCTACACAGACGGAGGGAGACGGGGAGAGAGACACATGACCGAGTGTCCACACGTCGCTTAACGTTTGTGCACGTTCGCTCACATCCGAGGGGAGTCAAACCACGTTTCATTTTGTTAATTTATTACAAACTGACATCGGCAGAATAGGTTTCAGAATCGAGAGTTTTGAATGACACTCGGATCCAAGAGACTGGGTTACAGGATCACAGGAGTCTTGAGACTCGGGGAGACCGGGTTTCTGTATCAGAGTCTGGATTGAGAATTGGATCCAGAAGACCGGGTTAGAGGATCAGGAGTCTTGAGACTCGGGGAGACCGGGTTTCTGTATCAGAGTCTGGATTGAGAATTGGATCCAGAAGACCGGGTTAGAGGATCAGGAGTCTTGAGACTCGGGGAGACCGGGTTTCTGGATCAGAGTCTGGATTGAGAATTGGATTCAGAAGACTGGGTTAGAGGATCAGGAGTCTTGAGACTCGGGGAGACCGGGTTTCTGGATCAGAGTCTGGATTGAGAATTGGATCCAGAAGACCAGAGTTTTCCGGATCATGAGTCTTGAGACCCGAGGGATGCCTTCTTGACTCGTGACTTTCATTTGACCTCCGCCGCCTTTTTTACAAAGGCCTAGCACGTTTTCGGGCAGGGCAGGGCAGTCCGACAGGGTTAAGGCATTTTTCTCCGCTAAACACCCGCGCGTGTCTTAGACTCTCAGTCAAAGCAGGGCATCGCCGGCGTGCCGACGCGTGGGCTTATTTACCAAGGAAATTTGTGAGCACGGCAAGGCGAGCTACCGTCTTTGGCAATCGTTTGCATGCCCAGGACGGCTCAACGTGGCCATGTCCCGAGACAGCCCCCTGAGCGCAGCACAGCTGAAAAAACCTCGGTTCGAATCCAGGGTGTGTGTCGGCCACGCGTGAATGCCTCAAAAGTCTCGTCGTCACCACCAACCACCCATGCATCAGAGTCTTCCCCGTGGTTGACAATCTCTGGGCCCCACTCCACTGCCTAGCTCGGTGGCCTGGCCTCCTCCTCCACTGTGCACACCACATGTCCCACCCATCACTACCTCCTCGTCATAGCCACAACACCTTCCTGCCCCCTTCTATTCCCAGCCTACAAGTTGATCAACCCGGTCCTGTCGTAAATATGAAGTAATGAAACGTCTCCTTACCAGGCTGTTGTCCGTATCCGAGCTGAACAAATGGAGGAAACACAGAGAAAGGCAGAGGGGAGGTTAATTTGCCCACGCTCAAAACAAACACACACACACGCGTGCGTGCGCACTGTACAACTGTTAATAAAATGCGCGACATCGCTTGCGAAAAGCAAAGATGTTGTCAATCTTGATTCGTCAATCTTGCGTGTGTGTGTGTGTGCGTGTGTGTATTGGGGAGCGGTGATGTAGCGGTTAGCTCGCTGCGCTACAAACGGGGTTCGATGCCCGCTCATGGTAAACACCAGTGATGATTATCTGAACCGGTCCTGGGCCTCCCCCCCCCCCTAGGTCGACTCAGCCTCAAATAAGTACGTGGTGCGGTGCGTAAACATCGCCACTAGGCAGACAAAGGTGGCCGGGCGTGATGCTGGCCACCCACCACCTCGTGTGCCGTGCCGACCTTCATAGGTCAACACAAAAACAGCACTTGCCTCAAAAGTCTCTTAAGACTGAAAGGGGCATCTTTGTCTTTGTATATATATACATTATGTATGTGCGTGTGTGTGTGTGAGCGAGTAGTCACCTGTATGTTAATGATGCTTCATCATCATAGCTTGACGCTGCAAGACAGAAAAAAAAGCAGGTTTCTTTGATTAGATTACACAAGCCATCAAAACAAGTTACGTAAAACGCACCGCTTAAAGCCAGCGCACATGAACATTGCGGTGTCTCTGTCCAATGTACAACGCACGGAAGATTTTCCGCATCCAAAACAGAACCCCGTCTCAATAAGAATTGGCTTAACCCTTTCCGGAAATGAAATAAGCCAAAAGGTGATAACCTTGGCAACGGAATCACGACCGCATTGACCACACGTACTTGTGGTGAGCATGCAAACAAAACATGCCCTCGTAATATATGCATTGTCTTTGAAGCTGACTTTTGTCGATGTTTGTATGCATGTATGCATGGCTCGTGCGTTTACCCAATGCGTCTCGCAGCTCGGCATACATGGGCTGCATGGTGTGCATTGCCAGCATCTTCCGGATGAGAAAGGCTCTCAGACCAAACTCTGCAAAATGCACAAACCAACCGCACAGGGAGGAGGAGGAGGAGACACAGGCACGGCCGTGCGTTATACCACCGTGCGTGCATCGTTACGCTCGCTTTAAACTTAAACTATTATTTCACCTTGATTTGATGCTTTCGTGACCGCAGGAATCCATACTCTTTGATTATTTCGGTAAAGTCCACGTAGGTATAAAATGGAACTAAATAAATCACGACGTTTCGATCGCAACACAAGCGGTCCGTCATCAGGCGGGAAAAAATATAATCCAGCGGTGGAACTGCTGAACCAGCGAGAGAGCTGTTACAACAAGGAGGTTATGTGGTGATGGGTAACCAGGTTAAGGCCCCACTAAGCTGCTATGCAGGTCTCTTTCAGAAGCGATCACACATGATAGCCCAATGAAGTTGGCTTATCATAATCACCACGTGGAAATGTTATAGCAGCAGCCAAAGAACTTTAACACGCGTGGTGACGTTGACGCAAAACATGTGGAGGGGGAAACACCGGAGGACCCGGATATTAATCCACGCGGCCACCGCGGGGAAAGATAGAGAGACCCAAACTCTGAATATACAGCAGGCGTCGCCGGGGTCGGGATCGAACCCACGACGACCTCCTTGCGTACCAGGCGAGGGAGTTAACATTCCGCGCAATAAAAAACACGCGTGACGTACGCGTGTGATTCCGTGACCGCGTTCATAACGTGTGATTTACCACGCAAAGCCCACTGAGCAACCAGGCTCTTGTTCGGATGCGACCTGGCCACAGGTGATGATAGCTCATCATCGCTAGAATGGCTTGCTTGATATCACCATCACCATTACTCACACGCACGAACGCACTCACACTGACGCACGCTAACTCACACGCACACTCACAAACTCTCTCGCACACTCACTCACAGGGACGACAACAACCTCCGTTCGCCTCGAAGCGGCGGTAAATGTCACCACAGCGCTTGTGCCAGGCTATGTGCACGTTGAGGCCACGTGAAATGTCACACTGACACACACTCCCCACAGACTCTCACTCACCACACACACACATGCTAACCCACTCACACAGACTAACTCACTCACACTCTGCAGAAGAGGGCAGAGAAAACACGCGATCTCGGGCTAGCGCAAACACGTGCATGCATGCACACAGTAATTTATCGGAATGCAAAGACAAAGATCCCCCGTGTAGACTTAACAGACTGTTTGGGAAAGTGTTGTTAGCAAGTAGCACCTTATGAAGGCTGGGGCGGCACACACGAGTTGGGTGGGTGGCCAACACCACGCCCAGCCGCCTTTGTCTCCCCAGTGGCGACGTTTACACACCGCACCAGGTACTCATTTGAGGCCGAGTCAACCTGGGGGGGAGGCCCAGGACCGGTTCATTGGGTCGCCTGGGGTTTCGCAGCGCAGCAGCGGCGCTAAAGCAAAAATCCACCCCCTCGTACAGAGACACAGCTCCCCCGTGTAGCATTTAACAGGCATTCTAGGGCAAGTGCTGTTTGCGAGCAGCACCAGATCAAAGTCAATATGAGGAATTGGCGTGTGTCTCTATACAAAGATCCCCCGCATAGCCTGCAACAGAGTGTTGGAGCAAGTGCTGCTCGCGAGCACCACCGATTAAGGCCGGCGCACAATGCATGCACACACACACACAGACATACACACACACAACACACGTGTGTAGAGACACACACACACACGTGTGTAGAGACACACACACACACGTGTGTAGAGACACACACACACACGTGTGTAGAGACACACACACACACGTGTGTAGAGACACACACACACACGTGTGTAGAGACACACACACACACGTGTGTAGAGACACACACACACACGTGTGTAGAGACACACACACACACACGTGTGTAGAGACACACACACACACACGTGTGTAGAGACACGCGCACACCCCCATCACACACATGAGACGCAAAGACACAACGACGACGCCTTTCTCAACTAAGCGGCGGTGACGTCACCACGGCGCTCGTGCCAGGCTATGTGCACGTCAAGACGGACACACGCACCATGCACACACACACTCACTCACCCTATAGCAATCAAGCGGGCGGGCGGACCAACTCTCTCCTCCCGACTCTCTTCTTGGCTGGCCGACGTCGTGGTGGTGATGGCACCAAGGGTGACGAGCGATGGCGTGCGAGCGTGCGTACGTGCGAGCGAGCAAGCGAGAGAGGAGGTTGAGTTGGGGGGGGTGGGAGTCTACGCGTGGCCCAGGCTTGCTAGGACTGTGTGTGTGTGGGGAAGCGCAGGGAGGTGTATTTATAGAGAGAGGCGCGCAGCAAGAGGGGGCGGGGGATGTGGAACGGATTTCACCACGGCCCATCTCTAGTAAATGACGTCGCGCAGGGGGCGGGGACGTCGTGATGTCACTGCCGAGCGGCCGCCGCGGAGAGAGCCAGGGCCACGTGTCTTCCCAGAACCCCCCGTGACGTCACGCGGGGGGGGGGGGGCAGCACCCCCATCCCCCCACCCCCTACGCCGAGATGTGTAGTGTGTTATTATACATGCATGGATGTGTAGTGTTATTATACATGCATGGATGTGTAGTGTGTTATTATACATGCATGGATGTGTAGTGTGTTATTATACATGCATGGATGTGTAGTGTGTGTGTTATTATACATGCATGGATGTGTAGTGTGTTATTATACATGCATGGATGTGTAGTGTGTTATTATACATGCATATATGTGTAGTGTTATTATACATGCATGGATGTGTAGTGTGTTATTATACATGCATGGATGTGTAGTGTGTTATTATACATGCATGGATGTGTAGTGTGTTATTATACATGCATGGATGTGTAGTGTGTGTTATTATACATGCATGGATGTGTAGTGTGTTAGTATACATGCATGGATGTGTAGTGTGTTATTATACATGCATGGATGTGTAGTGTGTGTGTTATTATACATGCATGGATGTGTAGTGTGTGAGGTTATACATGCATGGCTGTGTAGTGTGTTAGTATACATGCATGGATGTGTAGTGTGTTATTATACATGCATGGATGTGTCGTGTGTGTGTGTGTTATTATACATGCATGGATGTGTAGTGTGTGTGTTAGTATACATGCATGTATGTGTAGTGTGTGTTATTATACACGCATGTATGTGTAGTGTGTGTTTTATTATACATGCATGTGTAGTGTGTGTGTTATTATACATGCATGGATGTGTAGTGTGTGTGTTAGTATACATGCATGTATGTGTAGTGTGTGTTATTATACACGCATGTATGTGTAGTGTGTGTTTTATTATACATGCATGTGTAGTGTGTGTGTTATTATACATGCATGGATGTGTAGTGTGTGTGTTAGTATACATGCATGTATGTGTAGTGTGTGTTATTATACACGCATGTATGTGTAGTGTGTGTTTTATTATACATGCATGTGTAGTGTGTGTGTGTGTTATTATACATGCATGGATGTGTAGTGTGTGTGTTATTATACATGCATGGATGTGTATTGTGTGTGAGGTTATACATGCATGGATGTGTAGTGTGTGAGGTTATACATGCATGGATGTGTAGTGTGTGTGAGGTTATACATGCATTAACGTGTAGCGTGTGCGATTATACATGCATGCGTGCCTTCCCAGAACCCCGTGACGTCACGCACGGGGGGTAGAAACCCCCACCCCCTCTTATCCCCCACGCCCAGAGGTGGCTTACAACCGGAAGGTCAATGTTGGATTCTACATGCATGCCTGTGTAGAGGGTATGTGTGGGATTCTACATGCATGGCTGTGTAGAGGGTATGTGTGTGTGTGGAATTCTACATGCATGTCTGTGTAGAGGGTGTGTGTGGGATTCTACATGCATGCCTGTGTAGAGGGTGAGTGTGTGTGGGATTCTACATGCATGTCTGTGTAGAGGGTGTGTGTGGGATTATACATGCATGCCTATGTAGAGGGTGTGTGTGGGATTCTACATGCATGCCTGTGTAGAGGGTGAGTGTGTGTGTGATTCTACATGCATGTCTGTGTAGAGGGTGTGTGTGGGATTCTACATGCATGCCTGTGTAGAGCGTGAGTGTGTGATTCTACATGCATGCCTGTGTAGAGGGTGAGTGTGTGTGTGATTCTACATGCATGTCTGTGTAGAGGGTGTGTGTGGGATTCTACATGCATGCCTGTGTAGAGGGTGTGTGTGGGATTCTACATGCATGTCTGTGTAGAGGGTGTGTGTGGGATTCTACATGCATGCCTGTGTAGAGGGTGAGTGTGTGTGTGATTCTACATGCATGTCTGTGTAGAGGGTGTGTGTGTGTGATTCTACATGCATGCCTGTGTAGAGGGTGTGTGTGGGATTCTACATGCATGCCTGTGTAGAGGGTGTGTGTGGGATTCCTCATGCATGTCTGTGTAGAGGGTGTGTGTGGGATTCTACATGCATGCCTGTGTAGAGGGTGTGTGTGGGATTCTACATGCATGTTTGTGTAGAGGGTGTGTGTGGGATTCTACATGCATGTCTGTGTAGAGGGTGTGTGTGGGATTCTACATGCATGTCTGTGTAGAGGGTATGTGTGGGATTCTACATGCATGTCTGTGTAGAGGGTGTGTGTGGGATTCCACATGCATGCATGTGTAGAGGGTGAGTGTGTGTGTGATTCTACATGCATGCCTGTGTAGAGGGTGAGTGTGTGTGTGATTCTACATGCATGTCTGTGTAGAGGGTGTGTGTGGGATTCTACATGCATGCCTGTGTAGAGGGTGTGTGTGGGATTCTACATGCATGCCTGTGTAGAGGGTGTGTGTGGGATTCTACATGCATGTCTGTGTAGAGGGTGTGTGTGGGATTCTACATGCATGCCTGTGTATAGGGTGAGTGTGTGTGATTCTACATGCATGTCTGTGTAGAGGGTGTGTGTGTGTGTGTGATTCTACATGCATGTCTGTGTATAGGGTGAGTGTGTGTGGGATTCTACATGCATGCCTGTGTAGAGGGTGTGTGTGGGATTCCACATGCATGCATGTGTAGAGGGTGAGTGTGTGTGTGATTCTACATGCATGTCTGTGTAGAGGGTGTGTGTGTGTGTGTGATTCTACATGCATGCCTGTGTATAGGGTGAGTGTGTGTGGGATTCTACATGCATGCCTGTGTAGAGGGTGTGTGTGGGATTCCACATGCATGCATGTGTAGAGGGTGAGTGTGTGTGTGATTCTACATGCATGTCTGTGTAGAGGGTGTGTGTGTGATTCTACATGCATGTCTGTGTAGAGGGTGTGTGTGGGATTCTACATGCATGTCTGTGTAGAGGGTATGTGTGGGATTCTACATGCATGTCTGTGTAGAGGGTATGTGTGGGATTCTACATGCATGTCTGTGTAGAGGGTGAGTGTGTGTGTGAGATTCTACATGCATGCCTGTGTAGAGGGTGAGTGTGCGTGTGATTCTACATGCATGTCTGTGTAGAGGGTGTGTGTGGGATTCTACATGCATGCCTGTGTAGAGGGTGAGTGTGTGATTCTACATGCATGTCTGTGTAGAGGGTGTGTGTGGGATTCTACATGCATGCCTGTGTAGAGGGTGAGTGTGTGTGTGATTCTACATGCATGTCTGTGTAGAGGGTGTGTGTGGGATTCTACATGCATGCCTGTGTAGAGGGTGAGTGTGTGTGTGCTTCTACATGCATGTCTGTGTAGAGGGTGAGTGTGGGATTCTACATGCATGCCTGTGTAGAGGGTGAGTGTGTGTGTGATTCTACATGCATGCCTGTGTAGAGGGTGTGTGTGGGATTCTACATGCATGCCTGTGTATGTGTAGAGGGTGTGTATGGGATTCTACATGCATGCCTGTGTATGTGTAGAGGGTGTGTGTGGGATTCTACATGCATGCCTGTGTATAGGGTGTGTGTGGGATTCTACATGCATGCCTGTGTATGTGTAGAGGGTGTGTATGGGATTCTACATGCATGCCTGTGTATGTGTAGAGGGTGTGTGTGGTATTCTACATGCATGCCTGTGTATAGGGTGTGTGGGATTCTACATGCATGCCTGTGTAGAGGGTGAGTGTGTGTGATTCTACATGCATGTCTGTGTAGAGGGTGTGTGTGGGATTCTACATGCATGCCTGTGTAGAGGGTGAGTGTGTGTGGGATTCTACATACATGCCTGTGTATAGGGTGAGTGTGTGTGGGATTCTACATGCGTGTATGTGCAGTATATGATGTGTGTGTACACATGTACATGGCATGTACTGTGTATGTGCATTGCACATATGCACACGGCGTGTACTGTCTATGTGCATTGAGGCCGAGTCGACTTAGGAGAGGCCCAGGACCGGTTAAGATAATCATCACCGCTGTTGGTGGCCGTGAGCGGGGATCTAAGTCGGGTCACAGCCGGGTTCGTAGCGCCGCGAACTAACCAAGCTCCCCCATACACACACACACAGTGACACACACACACAGTGACACACACACTAACCACAACTCCCCCATACACACACACACACACTGACACACATACAGTGAGGGAAAAAAGTATTTGATCCCCTATAATGTTAATGGTAGGTTTATTTGAACAGTGAGAGACAGAATAACAACAAAAATCCAGAAAACGCATGTCAAAAATGTTATAAATTGATTTGCATTTTAATGAGGGAAATAAGTATTTGACCCCCTCTCAATCAGAAAGATTTCTGGCTCCCAGGTGTATTTTATACAGGTAACGAGCTGAGATTAGGAGCACACTCTTAAAGGGAGTGCTCCTAATCTCAACTTGTTACCTGTATAAAAGACACCTGTCCACAGAAGCAATCAATCAATCAGATTCCAAACTCTCCACCATGGCCAAGACCAAAGAGCTCTCCAAGGATATCAGGGACAAGATTGTAGACCTACACAAGGCTGGAATGGGCTACAAGACCATTGCCAAGCAGCTTGGTGAGAAGGTGACAACAGTTGGTGCGATTATTCGCAAATGGAAGAAACACAAAAGAACTATCAATCTCCCTCGGCCTGGGGCTCCATGCAAGATCTCACCTCGAGGAGCTGCAATAATCATAAGAACGGTGAGGAATCAGCCCAGAACTACACGGGAGGATCTTGTCAATGATCTCAAGGCAGCTGGGACCATAGTCACCAAGAAAACAATTGGTAACACACTACGCCGTGAAGGACTGAAATCCTGCAGCGCCCACAAGGTCCCCCTGCTCAAGAAAGCACATATACATGCCCGTCTGAAGTTTGCCAATGAACATCTGAATGATTCAGAGGAGAACTGGGTGAAAGTGTTGTGGTCAGATGAGACCTAAATGGAGCTCTTTGGCATCAACTCAACTCGCCGTGTTTGGAGGAGGTGGAATGCTGCCTATGACCCCAAGAACACCATCCCCACCGTCAAACATGGAGGTGGAAACATTATGCTTTGGGGGTGTTTTTCTGCTAAGGGGACAGGACAACTTCACCGCACCAAAGGGACAATGGACGGGGCCATGTACCGTCAAATTTTGGGTGAGAACCTCCTTCCCTCAGCCAGGGCATTGAAAATGGGTCATGGATGGGTATTCCAGCATGACAATGACCCAAAACACACGGCCAAGGCAACAAAGGAGCGGCTCAAGAAGAAGCACATTAAGGTCCTGAAGTGGCCTAGCCAGTCTCCAGA